TGAGCCGACTAACTCGTGGCGAGCCCATGTGTACTGAGTAGAACTGCACTCCTCAGGGCTTTCAGTGGCTGAGTTTTCAGAAGTACAGCTCCAGCTTTTTCTTCCAAAGTGTCTATAAGTAGACTTAAGCTCTTGGTTAGCAGCAGAGAGTGTTGTGTGTACCACCCAGGGGCTTCACAATTATCATAAAACTTGTTTAAGTACTTGGTTTTAATTGACTGAGGAGTTGCAGTTTATTTGTGTAATTTCATATACTTCCAGTTTCTTCAACTGTAGTGAAATAACCATTTTAGAACTTTTTAAAATTCTTGAAATAAGTTTTCTGAATTGGAGACTTTATGCATTATTATAAAATAGAGATATTCAAAAGGGAGAAGTGGAAGTAATAAGAAAACACAATTTTGAAACACAAGTGCGTCTGGTAATTTCAAGTGTTAGGAGGAAATACTAAAAATAGATGGCACTTTTTAGAAAAGAAACATTGGCAAAGAGAACATACGGGCTAGAGACCACCCACGTGTGATGCTCCAATCGTTCTGTACCATCAAGGGCAGTAATAATTGTGCTTTGAAATCACATAGATAAACCTCCTAGAGCAGTGAAAACTCCAAATTATAATGGTCAAAATAATGAATCTCAAATCATAAATAGTAATGACACAAATGGTGTATTACATAACAGCAAGAAAAAATAAAAGACTGTTCATTAATGAATCTCTTTTGCTTATTTCCTGTGTTTCTAAATGAGAGAAATATGAAGTCATGAATAATGACATTTAACCCTTCAGATGAGGTAGGATTTTCTAGAGTCTTGCTAGCTAATTAAATGAAAGAGCTGATAAGTGATAGCTCACCCATGTGTGGAAACTAGTATATTAATTGTTGAAGTTCAATGATTGGTATTGGGGCTTCATGATCTATTCTCTATAGTCATATGTGTGTTTGAAAATGTCCATAATAAAAAAGTAAGAAAATAATACAAGCATAAAAGCTGTAATGCAAATCACCCTCATATCAATTCCTGGAAGATAGCCTAAGGATATTCTCCACTTCAATGGACAGTCTTCCTATGTTCAGTCTACATCTCTCTAGAAATGACAATTTTTCCAAGTTTTCCAAATAGTTTATCTAGATTAGAACCAAATTTGCAGCAGAGTGCCTATGGACAATTCCCACCGTATTCATCTACTATTTGACTGTTGTCCTTGGATTTGTGTTCCTTATTTAGCACTAGGAGTAGATCACTTCAGGGTCTCAGTGCCTACAGACCTTAGAAACGTTCTTCAGGGTCTCAGTGCCTACGGACCTTAGAAAAGTTCTTCAGGAAGCTGAAGACTAAAGAATAGATACTATTGGTATCACTTTTCAAAAGATGAAGTCCAAGTTTGAGTTTCATTTATGCTTTCATAAGGTATTGTTTTTCTACTCTCTAAATATAAAAGTGCATGGTTCTAAAAAACCATATACCCAAACCGAGCCTTTTAACTAAGTTTTGGTTGTTAAAGGTGTACTTTGTGATGCTGGACTACCCCTTTGAGACCACTTTTGTACCTGGCAGTCCACCAGCTGAGCTTCCATGTCCATGGGCTCCTGGGGCGTGCCAAGCGCGATGTCCAGCGTGGCCTTTGTGCTCAGGAGCCAGTGGTTAAGCTCGTCAGCTTCACAGCGGTACCTCTGCAGGGCTTGCTCCTGCCTCTGTTCCTCCAGCTGATCATTTAACTTTTCCTAGCAGATTAAGTAAAATGTAACACGGATCAACCCAAGGCAAAATCCGCAGAACCCACCTTCACCATGATAGAATGACTCTATCCTAGCTCCACATCAGAATTACATGGGAAACTTAAAAACATACCTATGGGCAGGGCACATTCCAGGATAATAATCAGAATTCCCAGGCAGGGGTGAGATTAGTCATTTTTGAAAAGCTGCCCTGATGATTTTAACATGCACCTAGAGTTGACGAGAGAAGCCCCAAATAATGTGCCTATAGGACCAAGCTGATGATGGAAATGATGACAACAAGCCAAGGATTAGAACAAAACAATGGCATCAGGCAGTTGGTAATGGCAACAGACACCTGATCTTGATGTCTAGGATGCGATAGGGAGTGGTGGGGACTACAGCAAACTGAAGAGCAGAGGGTCCATCTACAAGGGTAGCCACCATGCAGTTTCAGGCAACTGATCCTCTGTGGGAAGGGGCAGACAGTCTTACTGCATTTTGAGTGAAAGCAGAAACCCAAATTTTTGGTGAAATCTCTAGTTTTTTTCAATGATGGCAAAAAATTCATATATATATATATTTTTAAATCAAGATCAAACACTTCATTTTGAAAGCCCACAAGTTTTCCACAGAGTGAATGGGAAAAATATTAATGAATTAGAAAGTCAAGTCTTAGGATACCAAACTCTAAATTAATAAATATTTTAATTAAAATTTAATTAAATTTCAAACCTAATTTTAAAATGTTATTAATAATATTATTATTGAATTAAATATTTTATTAAATCATTTATAAAGAATATTAATAAGGCAGACACACTGATTTTAAACCTATCCAAAACAAGAAAGTTAAGATTTTATTAATCTTATATAAGTAGAACTAGAAATAGCCTACATACTGAACAGCTGGGCCATGGTTAACTGAAATATGGTATAATTGGTAACAAAACAAAATATCATTCAGTCCATATAATAAAAATGTACTGATCACTGGTCCTGTGATAATCGGCTTTGTGCTGCTGGGACCTGGAGATACAATGAGACAGACACTAAGAAAGTCTTCATGGCGCTTGTCATCTGTACGAGGGACAATACATTACCATATATGTGCTTATGGCCAATAACAACAACAAAAATAAAATAGATGATTTTTCACATATATGTTATGGTTTCCAAAACATGTCTATATTAAATAAAGTTTCAATTAGGTAGTATAAGAACCAGAATTATAATAGGATTTGTGTGAGTTAACATGTTTGAATTGACTATCAGTGACTTAAGGGAAAAACAGCTCACTGCCACTGAATTGATTGCAACTCATAGCAACCCTTTAGGATTGAGTAGAACTGCCCCAAAGAGTTTGCTGTAAATCTTTATGGAAGTAGACTGCCTCATCTTCCTGCCACAGAGCACTGGTCAGGTAAGTAGGGTTTATTTTTCATAGATTTAGTAATAGTGGGAATTAGAATACATTCATTTAAAAATATTTCTCCTGTGGAGTGGCTGGTGGGTTCCAACCACCCACCTTTCAGTTAGCAGCCATGTACTTTAACCTCTGCACCATCAGGGCTCTTTTAGTCAAACCTAGCAAACCATTATGCAAAAAATCTACAATTATTCCACTAAGGCTCATGTCTCCCAAGTACTTGCTTACGTCATTCTCCACGTCATGCCTGAAATAAGTCAGGGAGGAATAAAAGGATATACTCAGGGTTACACACTGACTCAATGCTATATGCACAAGATCCTTCTAGAAACACAACACTAGCATCTGTCGAGTGGGATACAATAAAAATGTAGATCACTTGAGAAACCCACATGTGAACACAATTTGGATAGTTCACTATAAATGAGGGGCACCTTCAGATTACTATTACCTCCAGCAGCTGTCGTTTCCCTGATGCCTTCATCTTGATGGTGGACATTCGCTCGGCCAAGACGGTGAGAGTGGACTGCAGGGCCAGCCGCTCCACAGGGTCGGACTCTGGCGACTCAGACACCAGCTCCTCTGCGAGAGATGACTGAAGCTCATTGATTTCATCTTGAAGCATGAGAATCTCATCCATCAAGGCCTGTGGGAAAGACTGCGGTGTCACACTCGTACTTTTTTTTTTTTTTTGTACTAGCTATTGGAAGGGAGCTCTGGTAGTGTAGTGCCTAAAGCACTTCACTGCTAACCAGAAGGCTGGCAGTTCAAACCCACCAGCCACTGCTTGGAAGGAAGGTTGGGCAATCTACATCCATAGTGATACCACCTCAGAAACCCAAGGAGGGGTCACTATGAGTCTGGGACAACTTAAAGGCACATGACAACAACAACAGCTATTGGAAGGAAGATTGGGCAATCTACATCCATAAAGACATAGCCTGAGAAACCCAAGGAGGGGTCGCTATGAGTTGGGATCTACTTAACAGCAGTGAATTTG